CCACTGCACTCCAGTCTGGGCGACAGAGTGAGACTTCAACTCAAAAAAAAAAAAAAATAGGCATGCATGCCTGGAGATACATAATATCATTTAATATGATTTTAAACTTCATAAATATGGCATTATAGCAATTCTTCTAAAGGTTGCTTTTTTTAGACGCATCATATTCATAATTTTTTCTTTTTCTTTTAGAGTCAGGGACTTGCTCTGTTACTTGGGATACACAGGGCAATGGCAATATCATAGCTCAATGCAGGCTTGAACTCCTGGACTCAAGCAACCTTCCTGCCTCAACCTCCCAAGCAGCTGAAATTACAGGTGCACACCATTATGCCCAGCTAATTTTTTTATTTTTTATTTTTTTGTAGACTTGGTCACATTATGTTGCCCAGGCTAGTCTGGAACTCCAGGCCTCAAGCAATCTTCCTGCCTTGTCCTGCTAAAAGTACTGAGATTACAAGCATGAATCACCACACCCAGCTATAGTCATGAAATTCATCCATGTTTAAAAGTTAGCTCTAGTTTATTCATTTTTCACTGCTGTATAATATTCTGTTATATGAATGTTTTTGCCTTTTCTTCTACTGATGGATATCTATGCTGCCTCTAAATTTTTGTCTGTTATAAGCAACACCATTATGTTCATTCTTGTACATGTCTCCTTGTACATATGTGTTAGTTTCTCTAAGAGTTTAAGTTGTGTACCTTCAGGGTGGAAAGGTATACACAGCTTCAAACTTACTAAATTTTGCCAAATTGTTTTCCAGGACATAAAAATAACATTCCCATTTAACTGAATGTTACTAAATGCTGTCCTTTAAGATAAATATTCCATTTCTTTTTTTTTTTTTTTTTAAGCTATAAGGAAATCTTTTCTGAACCTCCAGCTTCCCTAAATCTATGTTTATTTCCATTTAAACTCATAATTTAAAACTTAAAAACAAAAAAAAAAAACCCAGTGATAATCCAATCAACAGCCTGCAGCCCTTTCAAAAAGCCAATAATCACCCCAGTTTTCCCTCCTAAAATCGGCTCTTTACCTCCAGTTACTTAAATCTCCGTGCACCTCCAAGGTCATCACCATTCATTTACATGCACCTGGTTTTTATTCAAACTGCTTTGAAAAATAAGTGTCAGGCACAACTTTGTGGTGTTTTTTACGGTGCACCACACTCTGCCAGAAATTCCCGCCTGCAGCACGGCAAATTTTGGCATATCGGTTCCGACCCAGGGTGAAGGATCTTTGGGAAGGAAGATAATGAGCTCCTGAATGTAAACAACACTACTGCTTAATAAAGCTGTTCAGAGAAGTTCGATGCCGACTCGGGGATGAGTCAGGAAGACAGAACTGAGCTGGGGGCGCCTGACGCACGTGGGCCCTTGCACCCCGGACGTCAGCTCCAGCAGGGGTAGTCCAGCACTGCCCAGAGCCCCGGCCCCCTCCCCCCGGGCGACCGCGCACGCGCAGACCCCCGGTGCCGGCATCCCGCCCCAGGCCCGGGCCTCACCTCCTCTCCGGGCCCGCCGGGCGGCGCGTGTCCACGATGACCGGCTTCGGTGGTGGCCGGAACGCGCCGGGCTCGGAGGGCCCCGTGCTCCGCGGCCGGTCCAGCCCCGCGCGGACCCCTGCGGAAGCGAACGGCGGAGGTCAGGGCCCTCGGGCCCGCCCTGAAGTCCAGCCCGCTGCCTCCCCCGGCCCGCCCGCCATCCCACGGGGGTCGGAGCCCGGGTCATCCCCGACCTCCCGGCTCGCCCTCCTCCAGCCTGGCGCTGAGCCTCTCGCGCGCCGCAGCTCGCAAGCCCGGCTCTACTTACGGCAGGCGACAGACACTGGCGCGGGGAGCAGCCCTCTGGCGGCTCGAAAACCCCCGGCCAGGTTCATGGCGGCCCCACAGCTCCCTGCGATGCAGGCCGCCATGCCCGCGGTCTCAGCGTGGGACTACAACTCCCAGCAAACAGTGTGGTGAGATTGCGGCCACCTGCGACCGGATGGCGGCTGCAAAGGGACAAAATAGGCAAGACGCGCCGCAGCTTTCCTGGATGCTTTGGGAAAAATGCGTTTCTCTACTTTTCCATAGGGTACCAAGTTACAGCCTTCCACCAGGGTGTACTCCCGGCCTAGAAAACTCTTTCCTCCCTCTCTGAATCAACTCATCTTCACTTTGTCAAGCAAGCTTTCCAACGTCAAAACCCCACGACAGGCTCTCATTCCTGCTGGTACCTTCCACTAGTGTTGGTAACTCTGATCTCATTTGCAATTTTTTCTTGCTTGTTTCATTATTAAATTAGTATTTAAATCTGCCATTATGCCATAAGCTTTATGAGAGGGCAAAGTCTTTTGCGCACCGTCTTATTCCAGCACCCAGCACCTACTCAGCCCTCTCGAACTCCTTGCTGAATGCACAAAAAAGAGAAGAGAGCCGGGCTCGGTGGCTCAGCCTGTAATCCTGCGCTTTGGGAGGCTGAGGTGAGTGGATTGCTTGAGCCCGCGAGTTCGAGACCCGCCTGGGCAACTTGGCGAGACCTCATCTCTACAATAAATCAAAAATTAGCCGGGCGTGGTAGCGCGCCCTGTAGTTCCAGCTACTTGGAAGGCTGAGGCGGAAAGATCCCGGAGCCCAGCGGGTCGAGGCTGCGGTGGCCGGGAGCGGCCCCTGCACTCCATTCTGGGCGACAGAGTGAGACTCCAACTCACAAAAAAGAAGAAAGTAGTTTCTTTCTTTTTTTTTTTTTTTTTTGGTTTTTTGTTTTGTTTTTTGGGTTAAAGTCTCACTCTGTCCTGTCGCACAGGATGATTTATTTATCTGTTTGTTTGTTTATTTTTCTTTCTTTCCTCTCTCTTTTTTTTAATTGTAGAGACAAGGTCTCACCAAGTTGCCCAGGCTTGTCTCGAACCCTCGGGCTCTGGCAATCCACTCACCTCAGCCTCCCAAAGTGCTGGGATGACAGGCTGAGCTACCAAGCCCGGCCGAAAGTAGTTTCTGACAACTGCTGGCACAAAGTCCCTAAGATTACGAGAATATTACCCCTTTGAGGAACTAAAACTGAATTTGGGCTGGGCAACTCTGGGTGGGGTTAGGTAGGAGGGAATAAGCTGAATAGTAATTAGTAAGTCTTATAAATAGTAAGTCTGGTTAAGACCATTTGGAATTTGTCCTCTTGGCAATGGTGACCTACATAAAATAATACAGTTATTTAACTACTTATTAGTCATTCCAGTTGAATTAATGTCCCAAAGCTACCTCAAATTCAACATGTCCATACTGACACATCATGTTCTCCAAACTTCTTCCCCAATAGTGGCTATCTCAAGGAATAGCTTCAACGTTGTCTAAGCCAAAAATCTCAGTACCATCCTTGGCTCCTCCCTGTCTCTCCTTGGATAAGTTCCTAAAATTATACCTGGGGCCATCACATATCTCAAAAACCCTAACACTTCTTCATACACCCCGTCCATTTTTCTAATTACAGGCCACCACGCTTTATCAGGAACATTGAAAATCACTGCAAGTGCCTTCTTATAAATCTTCCTGACTCTTGTTACCTCCAGTTCTTCACACAGCAACCAAAAAAGATGACTCAGAAATGCATGTCCCTTTCTTGTCTTTCCCTAGTTTAAAGCCTATGGTAGTTCGCTGTTGACAAAAATAAAATTCACACACACACAAAAAAACCCCAACCGATCTCTGAAGCCTGCTCCATATATACTCTCACTTGCCATCCTGAAGAACATGAGCTGTTACATTGTTACAGTCCGAGTGAATGCTGGCTGATACCTTTCTAAGCCAGTAAAATGAGAGGTAGGGAACTGGCAGAAGTTTATTTCTGAATTCAGAATTCAAGGAGACAGAACCCGGCTCCTAGCATTTTTGGAACTGGTCTGCTTGCCTCTTAGGTTTCACAATCCATTTGTATAAGTTTATGGTTGCTGGTACCTACACATGGACTATGTGACTGACAGAGCATTGTATATAACTTAAGTTACAGCCACACTTTGTTAGTAGTAACGTTTATGGTCCGCATTTCCTGGGACCGCCGACCAAAAGGTGACTCACAGTGTTATCAGTAACACCCAACTGAAGAGTTGAATAAGCTTGCCATAGAGTGAGTTAACAGAGCCTATGACAAAGTAAAACATTATTCACTACAACATATCATTGATGAGTAGATACAACATGCAAAATGTTACATAAATTACAAGGGTTATGTTTCCATGGGTGCTATATTTTCAAATCTGTGACCCCTGATAAAAGGGAGTGAAGAGAGATTCATTTATCTCAATTGAGTGAGCACAGTCTGCAGGAGGTTAAGGGTTTTTGAAGTGATTTAACAGGTCAAATAAGCTAAATCAGTTAATAAAATCAAATTGCTAGAAAAATAAGTGTCAACCAGCTTACTCCATTTTGTTTAAAGCTTCCATCTTAGTTCCCTGCCTGACCTAAGAATCTCCCCTCAATGCCTAAGTGTGATTATTGTAACGTTCCCATGATCACAGACCCCCAGCTTTGTCCACTTTGGGCAGGGCAGGTCGTGCTGTTTCCTGCTGACTGTTACAAAACTCCCTAGCCATAAGTTCCATGTAATTGTATGCGTTGTTAACTGAAATCAAATGTTACGCTTTGCAAAACCCCGTTGTTGCATTTTCATATTTTGTTCTTATATTTTGTTAGTGACCCAACAAAGATAACTCCATTGTGTAATGATTCTTCAACCTTGTCTCTATGTAGCTGCGTTAAACTATATCTTGTTGGCAGAACTCCAGGGACTTTCCTGTCACCTGGGACATAAAATTAATCAAAACTCCCTAACAATCAAAAGTTCCCATTTTGGTTGCCAAGTTGTTAGTTAATAGTTGCTATGGTCACTAAATTACTATGTAGCCAACATTGCAAATTTTACCTATAAAAGCTTGTCACAAACTGCACTAATTTGTCCAGAGCTCTCCTGGCATGAGCGACTCTTGACCGCGTGCTAATAAAGGACTCTTAATCTGAAACTTGGCATGATGACTTCTCACTTTCTCTGTCATAACACAGGGAATGTATAGGAGATAAGGGAATATGCTTTGTTTTGTTAATTCTCTGGAATGTAGGTGCGTGCAAGCCTGCTCAAAAATTATGCCTTTCACCGGGCTCGGTGGCTCAGCCTGTAATCCCGCACATTTGGGAGGCTGAGGTGAGTGGATTGCCTGAGCCCGCAGGTTCAAGACCCGCCTGGGCAACTTGGTGAGACCTCATCTCTACAATAAATCAAAAAATCAGCTGGGCGTGGTAGCGCATGCCTGTAATTCCAGCTACTTGGAAGGCTGAGGCAGAAGGATCGCCAGAGCCCAGTAGGTGAGGCTGCGGTGGCCGGAAGCGGCCACTGCACTCCAGTCTGGGCGACAGAGTGAGACTCCAACTCAAAAAAAAAAAAAAAAAAATTCAAACTTTACTATAAAGCTACAATCATCAAAACAGCTTGGTATTGGTACAGGAACAGGCATATAGATCAATGGAACAGAATTGAGATTCCAGAAGCAAAACCTCGATTTCTCAACCAACTTATCTTCGACAAAGCCTCTACCACCTACTACTGGGGAGAGGAGAACCTATTCAGTAAATGGTCCTGGGAAAACTGGCTGACCACATGCAGAAGATTGAAACAGGACCCCTATCTATCCCCATAACTCTAAATGGATCAGAGACCTAAATGTAAAACCTCAAACCATAAGAACCTTAGAAAAGGAAGGAAATACTCTCATGGAAATTGGAACTGGCATCCAACTCCTGTAAAAACCCGAAACCCACAGGACTTAAGAGAGAAGATAGAAAAATGGGACCTTATTAAACTGACAAGCTTCTGCAAAGCCAAATAACCATCAAGAGAGCAGGGAGACAGCCTACAGACTGGGAAAAAGTATTTGCCACTCTAGGTCTGACAAAGGCTTAACATCCTGGATCTACAAGGAACTGAAACGTACTGAAAAGAAGAAAACAAACAACCCCATTATAAAATGGGCAAAAGACATGAACAGACACTTCACAAAAGAAGACATTCGAGCAGCCAACAAACACATGAAGAAATGCTCAACCTCACTAATCATCAGGGAGATGCAAATCAAAACCACACTGAGATACCACCTAACTCCAGTCAGAATGGCAATTATCAACAACTCAAAAAATAACAGCTGCTGGAGAGGGTGTGGTGAAAAGGGAACACTTCTACACTGTTGGTGGGAGTGTAAACTAGTGCAACCTCTGTGGAAAGCAGTGTGGCGATTCCTAAAAGCTCTAAAAATTGACCTTCCATATGACCCTGCAATCCCCCTACTGGGAATATACCCTGAAGAACACAAATCACTCTATAAAAAAGATACCTGCACACGTATGTTTATCGCAGCATTGTTCACAATAGCAAGAACCTGGAAACAACCATGCTGCCCATCAAAAGAGGACTGGATTAAAAAAATGTGGTACATATACACGATGGAATACTACGCAGCCATAAAAAAGAACAAAATCATGAATTTCACTGCAACCTGGATGGAACTAGAGTCTATAATACTGAGTGACCTCTCACAGAAACAAAGATCCGAATATCACATGTTCTCACTCATATAATGGACCTTGAACATCCAATGTAATACTATAAGAAAATGACTGACGGTACTGGGAAACTATGGGGGGGAGGGGAATGGGATTAACAGTAGCAAATATCTGTCGGGAGATGGGAAAACACCTCTTATCAACAGGGTGCCTGAATGAAACGTAATTGTACACCTAACCCTTAACTGTACCCCACAAAACCATAATAAAAAATACTGATTAATAAAAAATAAAAATAAATTAAAGAGAAAGAAAAAAATTATGCCTTTCTTTAAGGGTTGTGGCAATATGGACAGACTTGCGTGGGTTTCCATCTCACATCAGCCTGAAAAGGAGGG